TGCGAGATTTGATGAAAGGTTAAACGCTCCCTTAATTTAATGAAATTTTTAGTTTTCCTCTCATTTGATACGGGTTTGATGCCACGATTGGAGCCCAAAAAGTAGCGTGTTTCATCAAATTTAAATTTGATGACAAATCTAATACTAGGGTTGGAGATGGTTTAAGCCTCAATTATTTCTCTTTCGTTTGTTAATCTAAAGCTTACTAGCTGAGTACGATTTTGATCCACTAAAATGTATATATATATATATATATATATATATATATATATAAAAAATAAAACGTAAAAAAGACAATAATTGAGGGTAACTGTTAATTATTTCTAGTCTGGTTTTGAACTGGACCGTATTGGGAGGCCTATGTGGGTTCACCACAAAACTCATATCGATAATTCGAATTGTTTAATGTGTATAACTTGTTAAGTACTTCATTTTTGAAAAAAAATGACGTTTATCAGATATCGACTATTACTTCATCATATCACATTTTTGTTAATAATTTTTTTAAAAAAAAAAAAATCATACTGAACGTTGATAGAAATATGATCTGATTAAGTGACTATCACTATCCAATCGACGTAATTTTTTGTAAAGATGAAATACTCAACGAGTTCTACACACTGAACCGTTCGGATTATCGATACGAGTTCCATTGTGAGCCCATGTGGCCCAATAGTATGATCTAGTGGACTGGACACAAGCCACACACATAATTAAAGCCTTATCTGTAATGGATATGCTTCATTATATTATCAAATGGTTAGTTTAATAATCATTTTAAATTTAAAATAATTATAAATTTACATTTTTAATTTATTTCCATTAGATATGTAATCGAAATTTTCCATTACATACACGAAATGGAGACGATCAAAATCCTCTTTTCCTCCTTCTCCGTCTCCTTCCCTCTTTAAGTGCCTCGCCAACAAGAAAAATGATATATAACTAAAGAAATGATTTTTTAAAAATGATTTTTAAGTGAAATGATGTGTTAATAACTAAAGGAAACATGAAAATAAATAAATAAATAAATATCACATGAGAGTGATGGATTATTTAATCATTTGATTTGAAAAGTAAATCTAATTTTTGAGTCAATACAACCCTACTCATTTAAATTTGTAAGAAAAATGATATATAAGTCTATTTTTTAGATTCATTTTCTAGACTTAACGATGTATAAGTAATATAATTAGTTAATGATTAGGAAAATATGAAAGAGAGTGTTACCTTATATATCTTAATTGATTATCACATCATTAAATTTAAAAATTGAGTCTAATTTATGAACTTTTATAGTAATGCCCAATTTGTAATTGAATAGAGTCCGACTTATATAAATTGTGTTTGATAAAAAATTAGACAAAACTCTTAAAAATTTTGAAGTTTCAAATATTTAAAAACTCTAATAAAATTATCAATTTTTTTTTATTAAACACTCACATTCATACGAGACACACATGAGTGTAATGTGGACCAGACATCTTTATGAATGGGTCATGCTCCGGAACTCTAATTAGAGCTGCAAAAGGACAGCTCTAATGAGCTGTCAACCAATAAAAAAAAAAAAACAGGGAAGTAAAAGACAAAAAAGATGGAAGAAAAAGACAAATTAATGCTCTATTAGAGCTCTTCTTTTAAAGGTCTAAATCATTTTTTGCTTTATGAATATTTGACAAAAAACATTTGGTAGTTAGCATTGCTCTTTCTATAAATATAGGTATAGGTGAGCATGCATCAAAAGTAAAACAACTCACACCAGCACCATTGTTAATTGCAGAATTCTTGGTGGTGGTTCTCTTACTACTAGCAATGTCAGATTCCACAGCCAAAGTTTTCGCCTACTTCCCAATCGTCCTCAACCAGGACGGAACCACCAAGCGCCTTTTCGAATTCCCAACCCTCCCTTCTGACCCAAACCCTTCTTCTCCCTCTCCTGTCCTCTCCAAAGACCTCCCTCTCAACTCTCTCCTCAACACCTCCTTACGCATTTTCCTTCCCCGTTGCCGCCACCACCACCACGAACCACCGGTCGCCACCACTCCCAAACCAAAGCTACCTCTCATTATCTACTTCCACGGTGGTGGTTTCGTCACCTGCAGCAAAGCCACCACCGGCTTCCACAAATTCTGCGTGGAAATGGCATTCCAAGTTGGAGTAATCATTCTCTCCGTCGACTACCGTCTCGCTCCCGAACACCGCCTTCCTGCTGCCTACGAAGACGCCGTGGAGGCCTTGCGTTGGGTTCGGCACCGCTGCGACGATCCATGGATCGTCGACTGTGCCGATTTCTCAAACTGCTTTCTCATGGGTACGAGTGCCGGCGGCAACATTGCTTTCCATGCGGGTCTACGTGCAGCTGCGGAAGCTGATGATCTCGTGCCGTTGAAGATCAAAGGGCTGGTATTGCATCATCCTTACTTTGGTGGGGTGAAGCGGACTGGATCGGAGCTGAGGTTGATCAACGACTCACAAGTGCCGTTGTATGTCAACGATCTTCAGTGGAAGCTGTCGTTACCGGTTGGAGCTGACCGTGATCACGAGTATTGTAATCCAACGGTGGCTGGTGAGTCTCCCTCATTGGAGGTGGTTAGTCGGCTGAGATGGAAAGTTATGGTGACGGGCGGTGAGAAAGACCCATTGGTTGATAGTCAGAAGGAGTTGGTGAAGGTGTTGGAGAAGAAGGGTGTGGAAGTGAGGGCTAAGTTTGGGGAGGGAGATCATCACACAGTGGAGTTGATGGACCCCACAAAGGCCAATGCATTCTTTGTGATTCTAAGAGATTTCATCTTCAAAACTTGCTCTGCCTCAGTGACTGTGAGTAGGTTGTGAGTTCATCCTTGCGCTAATCCTTTGTCTTCCATGGCTCCTTTTCTTTGCTGATAAAACAAAAAAAAAAAAAAGTTGTGATTTCATCTCCAATAATGGAAATGCCGATGAACGTGAAAAGCATGATGATTATGACAGGCAGATATCCTTTCTTTTGAGTACTTTTTAAAATAATCAGTAAAAAATAATTAGTGGACGTGCACGTGTTTTGCACGTGGTACTTTTTTTCATATTTCTTTTTGTGGTTTTTTTTTTGCTGTGATTTTTAGGTTTTGTAATAGTTTTATTTTTTTGAATCATTTTGTTATTTATTTTGTTAATGTTTAATGTTTAGTTTAAAAGTCAAAGTGTTTGAATTTTTGAATATTTGATGGGTGATATATTTGTTCGTCCATTAATATAATTTTTTATATTGTTTCTGATATTTTTGAAGTGTTATAATGTTCAATGATCCCTCTTTTAAGAATAATTATTTTTATTGTACAGTCTCTATCAAAATGTTGAAGTTCATTGATAAGGATAAAATCTTTTGAATCAATTTCATTTTCTTGCATTACTCCTACAAAACAATTTGAGATATGATGAATTGCTATTGATTTTTAAGTTGAAAGAATTTTCAAATACAATGATTTTTTTTTTAAACCTTGCAATTGAGATGAATCCTCATTGATTGTCTCTTTCATTGTTTCAGTATTATTAGCAGGAATATCATCATCTATAATGGTAAACTTTGCAATATTGCTCTTTCTTCCCATATTTTACTTGAGTTATGGAATGAATGGTGTTTATAATTTTCAATTGTGTGTTGTGTACACAGGAAATATGATTTACATAAGGACTAAGCATGTTTGTATTTAGTCACATAATAATACAGAAAACAAAGGTATGAATCTCTATAAAGAATTGTGGAGACACTGACGTATGAAAAAACGGTTGTTAAGCAAAATTTAGTGAGACTGAAATTTTTTTTAACAATGAATTATAACATAATTAAATGGATGAGTTAGTGGTTAAATTTTATATATAAATATTTTTTTTTAATTTTTTATTATTGACAAACATATATGAAATAGAAATTTTGAAAAAGTTGAGCCTTGAAATTAGCTCATTTAATAAGTTCATAACACCTTTTTTTTTTTTTTTGCCTCTTGTGATTATTTTATTTTATTTTTTGAGGCAACGAATTGCGTAACCTCTTTCTCTTAAAAAAAATGTCTAAAAAATTAAATAAATGTAGAATAGGCCACAAGGGTTAGTGTTGAGTTTTCTCTCTGCAGGACACCGTTTTAATAAAAATAAAATCAAATTACACAAAACCGAACAAGACAGAAACACTCATTTTATATTTTTTGAAGGTGAAAAAAATATAAAGACAAAAAAAACACTCATTTTATATTTTTTATGATGGTTCCCAAATTTGGCGGAAGGACGGTGACGCGAAGACAGAAAACTCCATTCAATTAGTTTGAGAAAAGGCAAAAACATATACTGTTTAACTCCTTGTTTTAATAAATAGGGATTTAATTGAAGATGCAAAATGACAGAGTTTTGTTATAATAAATAAGGAATTAATGTAAACCCCAAAAACTAATTTCTTGCATGTTAATTTCACATGTCCATGTTTTACTATTTTGTTCTAGTAGTTTTGTTTAGGGCTGTTTAAAAATCCGTTCGATCCGGTAATTCAGACCGAACCAGACCGAATCATACGGTTTGGTTCGGTTCTATTAAGAATTGGTTCGGTTTCGGATTAAGAAATATGAGAACCGTAAAAACGGTTCGGTTAATGGATTTTATGAAAAAACCGCGGCTCGAACCGAACCGAATTTTAAAACATATATATATATAATATCAAGTTTTATTTTTTATTAATTGGTTTTTTATAATTTTAATGATATTATGATGATATAGATATGTAATATTAAGTAATGCCTTAATATTATTAATTTTTATCATGAGTTAAATGTAATTAGTTTGAGTAATTATTTTGCTAATATTAATAATTTATTTTTGTAAATAGAAATTTTTGGAACCGTAAACCAAACTGAAACCGAACTGTTTTTTCGGTTTGGTTCTGGTCCGGTTTTACAAGTGTAACGGTTTGGTCTGGTTCTCAAAATCACAGAACCGTTAGGATCGGTTCGCTTCTTGGATTTTCTCATAACCGAACCAATCCGGACCGTGTACACCCCTAGTTTTGTTTTATTCGAAATCTATAATACACTACAAGAAATGTCACTTTTGGCTACTAAATTATTGGTCGGCAAAAGGCATAAATTTGGTCGCTAAAACGATTTACCGACCAAATATTTTTGTCGCCAAGTTCGTCGCCCATACCCTGTCGGCGATAGTATTGGTGACTAAACTTCATTTGGTCGCCAAAAAATGAAACTTTTCCCTACTAAATTTCTTTTAGTAGGCAAATGGTATCTTTTCGCCACTAAAACCGTTAGTCACCGAAAGTGAACATTTAGCTACTAATCCTTTTTTAAGGCGGCAAACGTGACCTTTCCGCGACTAAATTTTTAGTCACTAAAAGTTCTACCTTAGGCTCGGTGACTTTTGCCGACTAAAACTATTCGTAGCCAAAAACCTATTAAGATTCATTTCTTTACTTTTTGCCACCAAAAGTTTTAGTCGCCAAATGATACCCTTTTTTCGTGACTAAAAAATTTAGTGGCCAATAGTTTATTTCTCTCATTCTCAAATTTTTTAGCTACTAATTATTTGGTGGCAAAAACGTTTTGGGTTATGTTTTTGCTACTAAATTATTAGTAGTCAAAACTTTTGATTACCTATTTGGCTACCAAAACATTTGGTGGCCAAATAATTTTCTATTTTTTTTTTTAAAAAAAGAAAAAAATTGTAAACAACCTGTATTCATTTATATTACAACATGTACCCTGTATAAACAATATAATCCATCAACATTAAAATATATTATCAACCATTAAAGCATTCAACAACGTGCACACATTTCAGTTCCAAGCATCCAAAAAATTAATCCAAAAACGTCCAATTCTATATATAATACAAATTACATACACTCCAAGTCTAATCCAACGCCAATAATTTAAATCCATACATTACATGAATAACCAAATTAATTTGTTCGAACCACTATATATACGGATAGAGGTATAAAAACAATGCCCTCTCGTAATTGTCAAAAAATTATATATCCATGGACATATAGCTATAAAACCATCTGCAAAAAAAAAATAAAATTCATTAGTTTGGTGTCAAAAAATTATATCACTATAAAATGTTAAGGCTTAAAAGCTTCCCTGTTAATGACATAGATATTCTGACATATAAAATGGCAAGTAGCTTGTGCAGTTCCAGCATGAGAGCTCTCAATGTTTGAGCTAAGATAAAACGGAGATCTTGTAAAAGTAAAGCGTCAATGTGTACAAAAAGAAGATTTTTTTATAAAATAAATTTAAAGAAGAAGAAGAAAAAAAATTTTAAAAAAATATCTTACCAATCATAACTCCTTGCTCATGAACTAGCACAGCCAGATCCTTAAAAATCTCATTCACCTCACCAATCTGCTGTTGAATTTCTTCGATCCCCTGTTCTCTTTCCTCAATAATGTATTCATTGAAAACAATATCATTCTCCAACATTGCCACCTCCTGTCTGCACTAAATTACATTGCTCCAGAGGAGCTTATTATATATAATAATAAAAATTCACACATGATACAATGAATCATTTACAAAAAAGATAACCATTATAGTAGTCTCCATATAATTGCTACATAGTCAAGCCTAAAGTTTCTAGCTAAGTTCAGTTATTCACCTTTTAGATTGCACAAGAAGAGCTAACTGTTCATGACTCTTCGCTGAATCGATCTTCAGCTCATTGCCATTGTTGCTGCACAAAATTTTATCAAGGACATTAGATGAAATATTCCAAGTCAATCAGCGGCAAATATGTGTGAGACATCAACTAATTACTCCTTAGAATTTAGCAAGTAGCAAAATGAATAACAGAGTCAAGACTTGGTCAAATTTCAACCAATACTGATAATATTGGCCAACTCATCTCAATATTTAGTGAAGAAACTAAGACCCTTTATCACAAATCTAGCCAACGCACCTAGGCAGAAGAACTTCCTTAGGAACAAAAGGAGCATATGTTGTTTCCCTCTTAGCAGCAAGCCGTTGAGCCTTTTGAAATTCTCTAAGAACTGCCTGGAAATCTTTTGCCAGCTTAGCATCAGCAATCTTCTTGCTGGCCTGGAGTAGAACGAAAAGATTTCAAGGTATTAGAAGATAATTTTTTCCAAATCACGCAAATACAAATTCAACAGAGGGTAGGAAATTTTCTCACAAACAATATGAGGCTTAAAAAATGCAAGTGTTAGCGAGTGCAAATAGAGGAAACAAAAAAAGTAGGATGCTAACTATGTATAGCATAAAAATGGCTAATTGAGAATGCCAATCACATGTGAACTCACACTGACTTCAGTACACTGATCTATTTCAGTAGCTTGCTTAAGCTTAGTTGATGTCTCTTTCACCAGTTGTCCAATATGGTACCTAGTCTTGTGCTTGCCAGTGAATTCAATCCAATGTAAGAAGTACAAATCACAAATTAAGGACCGATAATGTGGCAACCAATCCATCTATATTACCTCAATTGCACATTCGCAACCCTTATTTCTAGTTCTGGGAGGGTAGGGAAAAAGGGTGAGCCTCTCTTTCTCTCTCTCTCTCTCTCTCTTTCTCTCTCCCTCCATATATATATAAGATATATAAAAGTTGTGTTGTTATCGGAAGGTGAAGCTGATCAAGTTCCCAATCTTAAGGTATGGTTGCCTTGTTTTAATTGTGGTTTGCTTCAAATTTTTGTTATGTGATCTCTATGAAACTGTATTTATTTTATGCTAATTTCAGTACTTTTGTTCTCATATGTAACTATTTTTCACTACAGTTCAGGACTCTCAAATTGTCGCGGTTCTAAATCTGAACTATAGAGTTCAAATCCGGCAAATCGTTTTGAAAAAAACAAATTTTGAAAGAAGTGCCAAACATGGACTGCTTTGCCAGATACAGAGTCACCACCTAAATGTTTTATTTTGGGAAAATTTAGGAAACCCTGACTCGTTTTCCTAAGCCCACGTGTTCGTCATCACCAAAGTTGCCTCGGCTCGGGAACTTGGGTACGATTGGGGAAGGTCACTTCGTGAGCACCCCCGCTCGCCCGATCAAAGATCGGCCTCTACTAACCATGATATCTAGTTTTGAAAACATTATGCGTTCTTATTCCGGTTATTAGCCTAGATTTACTATGTGATGCGCACATTTATATATATATATATATAATAATAATAATAATTTAAAAAATTTGTGTCAAAATAATTAGTTTATGAGACAGAAATAAACTTGAATAATTTTTAAAAGAAGTTGATTATTAGAAAGTAGTTGAACTTGCTAGAAATTGTAACAAAGAGACTTATGGATAACATGGTGTAATGATCATAATTTGAGGGTATTGAGGTCTTTTAATCAACTAATCTTAATCTTTTTCAATCGGTTAATTCTGTATTACATCCCCTGATGAGACTCAATAGTCTTCTTAAATATATAGCATGAGAAAATTGTCAATTCAAAGACTCATTTTTATATCCAAAACTGGAATTTAGAATTGATTGGACAGAAGTCTATTTTGAGAAGTAAGTTAAAAATTGATTTTTTATTTTTATTTTTTTGACTTTTCTTAGAGAAAAATTAAAATGATTATGGTTTAAATATGATATTTTGTTTTATTGACTTAATTAGCCTATTTAATCTTTTGTGCTTTTTTTAATTTCAATTGAGATAGCCAAAAGATTCACACTCCCAAAACACTATATGTGCATTGTCTATTTAGTCCAACTAGTGATGCAATGAAAATTTTTACAGATAAACGCATAGTAATTTGTCTTTGTTAGGTAGTTGGGACACAAACGATAACCTATTTATTGGGTTGGGTTGGGTTGGGGGTGGTTTAGCTGCACTACTACATTTAAATTTTTTTTTTAGTTATGCTTTTTCCAAAGAGCTACATTTTTTTAAATTTTTTTTTTTCTTTTCAGTTATGCTTTTTCAAAGTTATGCTTTTTCAGAGGACGCTCAGGCTAAAAGTCCAAAATTAAATTTTCAGGTGGTGGAATATATGTGCTTGTGTTAACAGTATGCTTTTGAAAGTTTCCATGTGTTGAGAATATAATCAACTTTAATATGAGACATCAATTTTCAGTGAATGCCTAGAATTTCATCTAGTGGATTAGACAAAGCTCCCAAACTGTATAGAATTCTAGTTTTAGTTGCCATCTATTATTGTTGTCGATCCTCGTGCCACCAATCACGCATATCGATGCATGATGACCGAGGAGTCGAATTGCACGACTCAATATGAAATGAATGCTCATATAAACACGACAGGACCTAAACTCCATCATGGATAATCCGGAGTGTCGGTGACTGGGAATTGAGTCACGTTCCGTCACTTGAAGTACGAAACGTTCCTCGTTTCCCGTGCTCGGGCTAACTCCTATCCCAAACACAATGCAATATGCATGACATGCATGAATGCAATCCTGACATGCAACCTAGCATACACAATGCTATGAAATGGCATACACGATGCACGAGGTAACAAGGCATACACAATGCTCTAACATACAACCTAGCATACGCAATGCTATGAAATGAAATGGCATACACAATGCACGATGGACTTACACCAACATGAGTGGACCTCAGCCACACTCACATCAGTAGCCATGAGATGAAAATGAGACACTCGAAATGCGTGCACACATGCACGCAAACCGAGGACCAAGCTTAAGGCACGAATGCCACTCTAACAAGGCATGGCAAAGTATGAAATATGGCATACAAACATGCAAGTTTCAGCACTGAAATATGATGCAAAACGATCCCGGAACATGGAAGCATGGCACCCGATGCATGGAATGGTCCCGAAACTCGAAACTAGGCACATGGAATGACTTACAGCGCCTAAGGCACGAATGCCACTCTAACAAGGCATGGCAAGGTATGAAATATGGCATACAAACATGCAAGTTCCAGCACTAAAATGTGACGTAAAATGATCCCGAAACATGGAAGCATGGCACCCGATGCATGGAATGGTCCCGAAACTCGAAATTGGGCACATGGAATGACTTACAGCTATACAAAGCATGCATTATTTGATCATGAAGGATGAAGATAGATGTAAGAAAGTCCCAAAACATGCATATTTTCAGTTTATAACAAGCCTCAAAAATGAACACAAATAGGGCTAATCTATCATGCAAAAATGGCCCTAAAGGAGAGATTAAACACAAAGGGACAGCAACTGGCCCCAAATGGCAAAGAGCCCATAATGGCAAAGAGCGCTTCAACAAAGTTGAAGAGGGGCTCAAAACAGGGCATTTTGCAGTTTACATCAAGCCACGAAAATAATCACAAATAAGGCCAAACTATCATGCAAGAAAAGGCCTAAAAGAGGGGTAAAGAGACAAGTGGCAGCTGCTATTCTCAAACAGATGAGAGCCCTTCAACAATGTTGAAGAGGGGCTCAAAACAAGATATTTTATAGTTTAGGTCAAGGTCCAAAACAGCTGACAAATAGGCCTAAAATACTATGTAAAAATTGGCCTAAAAGAGAGATAAAGAAAGGGACAGCAGCTGGCCCCAAATGGCAAAGATCCCTTCAACAAGGTTGAAGAGAGGCTCAAAACAAGGCACTTTATAGTTTACATCAAGCCACGAAAATAATCACAAATAAGGCCAAACTATCATGCAAGAAAAGGCCTAAAAGAGGGGTAAAGAGACAAGTGGTAGCTTCTGTTCTCAAACAGAGGATAATCCTTCAAAAATGTTGAAGAGAGGCTCAAAACAAGATATTTCACAGTTTATGGCAAAGTCCAAAACAACTCACAAGTAATCCTAAAATACTATGCAAAAATTGGCCTAAAAGAGAGATAAAGAAGCAAGTGGTAGTAGGAGACGTCAAACAGCAGGAGGTCCTTGATCAAACATGAAAAGGGGCTCAAAATATGACTATTTACAGTTTGGGTCGGAGCCCAAAAAAAGCTAGCAAGTATGGCTTAGATACAAAGAAAAATAAGGCAAAAAAAGAGGAGAAGAGGGCTTACCCGTGAAGACCAATGAACCAATAGCTCTTGGACCAAATTTCTGAGCCTTTAACCTCTCCAAAACAATCCCAAAGTGCTGGAATGAAGGATGGAGGCCTTGTGCTATGAGGTGTAGGGTAAATGGTGCAAGGTCAAGGGTGTTTGGAGGCTTGGATGAGAGAGATAGAGAGGGTTGTATGCATATAACTCCAGCTGGTTTTTCTAACCTGGTATAAGGAAGAGGAGAGCTTCCTTTATAGAGTCAATGGACTAAAGCTTCTCTTAGAAGCTTCAAACTAAGAGCAAAAATCCTCCATACACGTGTATGAAGGATCCAGTCTGTGCCCTCCAGCTGGCACAGCTGGCATCCATTCAATCTGTCGAATACACCGGAAGGTCGTCGGCCAGCAAAATTGGTCGGTCGGCTATTTTAAATGGTCGGTCGGCCATCTATTTGGCCGGTCGGCTAAATATATGGCCGGTGGTGGCTTCCAAGGCCAAAAAGTGGCCGGTGGGTGTCCAGATTGAAGCCCCGGAAGTTAGCTTTCCAATGGCGCAAACCTTGCATTAAAATTCCTCCTGTGGAAAAAGTTATGCCCATTTTGGTGACGCCGCGCAGATTCGATCCAACCGGGATGATACTCAACTTCAACCAATCATATCTCCCCCACCCGGACTTGGCTCTAGGAGATTCTTGAGTGAAAAATGAAGCCTCGGAAGTAAGCTTTCCAACGGTGATGGCCTCATAGCTAAAATCCAAGTATGTAGATGAATAGGCCCGATTCAACGAGGCCTGCTCGACCCTCTTCTACTTGGATTCATGCCGAACTTCTCCCGAACTAGTTTTCTTCTCTCCTTTCCTCTTTTCTCCGACTCCAAACCCTTAAACAAAGTGTTTTGAAAGATTTTTCAAAGATTTCATCTCTCTTTCATTCATTTCCACTTCGTCCCTGCTCGGTTTACCGAAAAGTGCAACGTTTGACAAAATGCGAGCCTCGGAACATCGCAGAAACTTTATTTCAAAAATGTTTTGAAAGAGAGGGTTCTAAGGTCTACAGTGAGTTGGATATAACTTTGGTCCAAAATGGGGTGTGAAGTTGAGATTTGTCTCTCTCCTTGCCAAAGAAACTGAACCTTTGCCCTGCACACCTTTTACCACCAAGTAAACCATCA